ATTCGGTTAGGAGCGCGGTAACTGCTTTTATTTTGAAGGGTTTACAGGAAGCAGGGCTAATAAAAGGGGAATTGACGTTCAGCACCTGCAGCAACGACGTTATAATAACGGTGTAAAAAACGGAATAAACCAAAAAGCCAAATGAACTGTAAGCTTGACTTTATTTAATTATTACTTTACTTTGAAAAGATGAATTACACAGTTCACTTCCTCCTTAAGAAACTGAGAAGTTTGAGGAAACGTTCAGTTTAATGGAGTTAATTAAAGAAAATAATTGTACAGAAAGCTTTTATTGTCATTTTAAAAATATGCAACTTAATTGAAAATGCTCAATTAAAGTGCACATTCATACAGACTTCCGTCTTCATCAAACAACTTGCTTTAAAGTAGAAGAAGAAGAAGAATCTGTCCGGTTGATATCCATACCGGGTGTTTCTTCAAAACGAACGTTTTCCTCATTATCGGAAAATACCACATTTTTAAATGATACCATCATCATCGTCTTTATTTACACTCAGGGCCGTTTCTAGCTCTTTGGGGGCCCTGTGCAAGATGCTGTTTGGGGGCCCTGTGCAAGATGCTGTTTGGGGGCCCTGTGCAAGATGCTCTTTGGGGGCCCTGTGCAAGATGCTCTTTGGGGGCCCTGTGCAAGATGCTGTTTGGGGGCCCTGTGCAAGATGCTGTTTGGGGGGGGGGTCTATTTTGTCAAACTACAACGGAGGGATTCCAAACCCTTTTAGATGATCTGTAGAGAAGCATCAGTGTGTTTCACTTCAAGAGGAAGAACAGGTTAGATTCATAAATCCTCCCTCAGAGTCAGTTAAACCTGCAGGAGATGAAAACAAAAGATAAACACTCAGAGCCAAGAAATGCAAACAAAACCAAACAAAACAAAAGTTATTGAAAATGAAACGAAACTCGACATATAAATGATCGTACCATCGACCTAAAACAATAATAAGTAAAATGATAAATTGGGCCATTGTGATCTCATACCTGTCGTCAGACGCCACTCCCTGCGTGACGACCCGATGATGACTATCACTTGATTTCCCCACAAACACGATCACAGCAGCATAGTCTTGCTTATATCCTACATTTCATTTTAAGCAGATACGTTCTTCACTCGGCTGGCTCCAACAGACAGGTCATTTTATATAATGTTTATAGAGGCTGAACTTGCAGCGTGGGGGGCCCCCTAGTGGCTGCGCGGTCCTAATGCATTCCCATAGTCCACGTACTGCAATGGTTCTGGTCTCAGGGGTCCATTAAAAAAAAACGATCAAAACAACTAATATTATAAAAGATAGCGTTCCCAGTGTCTCCCCAGAGATGACTGATATAGTTTGATATATTACTGACACACATTTTAATCACGTATTGAAACTGGGAACTAAGCTTCATTCATTTCATGAGACAGGTGTTCAACAACTTCAGGCAAGTTCCTGCAGACCGGCCAAAATGCACAATGAAGTCAGTTTACAGGAATTTGCCTGCAGTTATTGATAATCGAAAACAAAAAAATTACACAATATCTGGCACCTAGGACTTCTTTTTTGTTGCCGTGGTAACAGACAGATACCTCCCACTGAGCCCCCTTTCCCCCTCCTCTGGTTCCATGATAACTCATCTTTCTTTTTTTTGCCACTTACATTTTCAACAGAAGAAATATCAACAACAAAACATCAGAATAATTTCCAGACATTGAGACATATTGAGGTCATAACTGAAGTAGTGCAGTTCACCAGTTTAAATAGCTTCTCATAATTTACATGATAAAATAAAATAAAACAGTGAAAGGGAGGTAAACGATAAGCACCGTATCCATTGAACTCATCTTCATATAGTCATATATATATATATATATATATATATATATATATATTCATATATTACATTTAAAACACAATGGGACACATTTAAACTGTTAAACACAGAACAGGAAACACATGATTTTCAAAATAAGATAAGAAGCTGCACTAAAGTAAAAGTTCCTCAGTGGTTTGTTTATTTAACGTCTCCCCCTCCTCTCATTGTTTCTGTCCCAGTGAAACCAGTAGAGATGTCCCAGCAGCACCAGTAGTGACGCCGTAGTGTTTGGTGGGCGGAGCTTCAGGATGGAGATCCTGGTGGCGAAGCTGCTCGGCCTGCTCGGATTGTTCGGCCTGATGCTGGCGGGCGTGCTGGTCCCAGTGCGCCTCCTGCTGGTCGACTACGACAAAGCGAACAGATACAGGAGAGCGCTGTCTCTCTGCAACTCGTTTGGAGGAGGCGTGTTCCTCGCTACCTGCTTCAACGCCCTGCTGCCCGCCGTCAGAGACAAGGTAACACACACACACACACACACACACACACACACAGACCCAGACAAAAAGACACACACACACACACACACACACACACACACACACAGACCCAGACAAAAAGACACACACACACTCACTGTGTCTCTCTCTCTCTCTCTCGCTCTCGCTCTCGCTCTGTCTCTGTCTCTCTCTCTCTCTCTGTCTGTCTGTCTCTGTCTCTCTGTGTCTCTGTCTGTGTGTCTCTCTCTGTGTCTCTGTCTCTCTGTCTCTCTCTGTCTGTCTGTCTCTCTCTCTCTGTGTCTCTGTCTGTGTGTCTCTCTCTGTGTCTCTGTCTCTCTGTCTCTCTGTCTCTCTGTCTCTCTCTCTGTCTGTGAGAGAAGTTTGGCAGGAAGTGACCAGTCAACATGACGTAATGCCCCCCACCCAATCAGAGCATTCTAGAACCCGGCCTAATCCCACTTTTGAAAAGTGAGGCCACGTTTTGTCCAAAGTCCAAACTGTGTATCAAACATCTCTCTTATTTTGAAAGGGTGACGTTGTGTTGCAGTAAAAACACAGATGTGTGACTCCTCCCTCAGCTGATCCTCGCTCTGTCTCCCCCTCAGGTGTCCGACGTCTTCCAGCAGCTGAAGATCAGCAGCGACTTCCCGCTGGCCGAGACCATGATGATGCTCGGCTTCTTCCTCACCGTGTTCGTGGAGCAGACCGTCCTGACCTTCAGGAAGGAGAAACCGTCCTTCATCGACCTGGAGACCTTCAATGCCGGCGGCTCCGAGGCCGGGAGCGACTCCGAGTACGACACGCCCTTTATCTCGTCAGCGCGAAGGTCAGAGGACAGGCGCCACTCTCACGGTCACCAGCACGGACACTTCAGCCCCGCGGAGCTGGCGGGGGCGGGGCCTCTGCGGCTGGCGAGCCTGGTCCTCGCTCTGTCGGCTCACTCCGTGTTCGAGGGTTTGGCGCTCGGCCTGCAGGAGGACGGCGCCAAGCTGAGCAGCCTCTTCCTGGGCGTGGCCGTGCACGAGACGCTGGCCGCCGTTGCCCTCGGAGTGAGCGTGGCTAAGGCGTCGCTCGGCATGAAGGACGCCGCCAAGCTGGGCGTGACGGTGAGCCTGATGATTCCTCTGGGGATAGTGGTGGGGATGGGCATCGAGTCGGCGCAGACGCTGGCGGGCAGCGTGGTGTCGGTCGTGCTGCAGGGGCTCGCCGCCGGAACCTTCCTGTTCGTCACCTTCTTTGAGATTCTGTCCCGAGAGCTGGAGGGCAAACAGGACCGGCTGCTCAAAGTACTCTTCCTCATCCTCGGATACGCAGTGCTCGCCGCACTCGTCTTCATCAAGTGGTGACACACAGGAAGTGCACACGCGCACAGCAATACAAAGTAAAAGTCCTCCGAAGGAATTCCAGCTCTCTGCAAAACTCATCGTAGTAAGTAATGAAAGATGTTTTTCAAAATAAAGTTTGATTCTCACTTAGCTGCAGCCAGGTACAGGTGTGCTCAGGGACACTGTGACATCATAGATGGGCGTGGTTACTGAGGAAACGGACCCATTAAAGAGACACAAACACCGGCTCAGTGTGTTCAGTCCCCCTTTGGATTTTCAAAATAAAGCGACCAAACATACATTATAATGTATCTTTTCTTAGAAAGATGTTTATAGAAGAATTTGAAATCTTGTTTTTTTACAGCTGTGTTTAAGATTTCAGAGATTCTTCATTTCCTTGTTGGTGCTTTTTGACTCTTGTTGTCGGGTTACTACATCACCTGGAGAACCAGGTACAAGATTTGACGGTAAACCTGGTCTCCCAATCTCCACCACTCCCTGCGGTCCATGGTAGCTTTGTCTTTCTGATGATTTGTTGTTCATGTCTGTTTTGACGTCATGTTGATAAAGTGATGGAAAATACCATCAGGAGTCTTTATCTTGGATTTTATTTTGAAATTAACCAGACGCTCTGTGCGTTTCCTTGTCTCACTTTCTGTTTGGGTCGATCTATTCTGTTCAGTTTGACGCGTGCTTGCAGCGAGCTCCATCCAAAATAGACTTATTTGAAACAGAGCAGAGTGTAGCAGCGCCGCTGGCACGCTCTGGAGACGGACGACGGCGCTCGCTGTGGAAACAGGAACATCGACAATGTGTGGCAGCAAAAAGCGGCGTAGTGAGCTGCGCTGACGGACCGACTTTTTCTTTTTCTGTTTGCATTGAGCTCGTCTGTAAAGAAATGTACTTTCTACTCAAAATTCTAATGCAGCACAGAGTTTGTGGAAATTGGGATTTTTATTTTATTTTATTATTTATTATAAATCATTTGATCCATCGTAGATCTCTAAAGTTTAAAACACTGTCGTTATTTGTGCTCTGATTTATTTCATATTTAACCTCGAGCTCAGTGTGAAGTCTAAAGTATATTCTCCTCTAAACGAATTAGAAACACTTGACGAGTGCTGACAGTTAATGTTTCCTCTCTGTGAAGCTTCTTTATTTATACATTATATAAAGGTATATTAAATATGATATATGAAAGTTTCTGTTTTCTGTCTGTTTTTTCAACACAATCCTGTTTTTGAAATCTGTTTTTTATGTGAAATCAAACTTTAAAAGATTCGCTGACATTTATACAAACTTAAAGGAGCAGTATGTAACTCTGCCCCCTAGTGTTTAAAATGGGTACTGTAGTCTAAATTCTAAACATCATAGAGAGCTGTCTCCCCCCTCCTCTCTAGAGTGGATGCTCACTCAGGTCACCATGTGGTGGACTCTGAAGCTTCAGTGTTTATCCAGCTCTGCATGGGTCTGTAAACCTTTCTGTGTTCTAACCTCTCTCCATTTTTCAAAAGCATCTCCAATATTGATCCTAGTTTGAGCACGTTTCTGCTCGTGGAGCTTATTAGAAACATGCAGAGGCTTTTTAGGTCGGGTACAATCACTTCTATCTGAACCACTTCTCTTGACCGCTTCCATCGCTGCAACACCTGTTGACCTGATAACTGCTCTCATATCTGACAAACCGAGGGGTGTCCAAAACGGCCGTGTGGGGGGGGGGTGTCTTCAAAGCGCCTACCTTCTCTGGTCCAAACAAATCCAGAGCATTCAGGAGCAGAATCTAAAGTTAGAAGGAGGACATACTGGCTGCTGCATTGTTGTCAGAGAAGCCAGCACTTCAACATAGCATGTTTCCTTAATGTTTGATCAGCTGATCTATTTTTTAAAATCTATATTGTGGTATCTATCTATTTTTTTGTACATTTCTAATTTTGCTTTTTTTAAATTTAAATTGTACTCTGTTCACTTTTTGTTTGCAATCTTTGCTCTTTGCTGCTGTAACACTGTAAATTTCCCCGTTGTGGGATAAATAAAGGATTATCTTATCTTAATGTCTGATCATATAGTAAGGTCACTTCATCATCTCACTCACTGATTGGACCTTTAAGAAAATTAAAAAAAAGTGACAGACATTTGGAAATAAACTTAAGAAGTTATTTTCTGTATCAGTCTCCCTCTCCTCCACTGAGTTGCAATTCTCTGCTTCACCACCAGATGTCCTCGGTCCTTTCCCTGCCCTCACACCTGTGTCCCTCTTTCCATCAGTCCTGCAGTTACCTGTTCCACTCGGCTCTGCTCCTGTAGCTCGTTGCATCATCACAAAAAGGCGTCTAATCTATTGTTCAACCTGCCAGATTGTTCGCTTACTTAATCGTGCAGCTGCTTCGTCTTGGCTCGTCAGCCTCGTTATCTTAAATCTATTCTGGTCCTGACACTTTGCCCGGTGTTGGACTTTGGACTCCTGTTGGCTCGTTATGGGATCCGTTTGTCTCTGGTTTCATCCCTCCATTACGCCTCTGCTTTTATTGTGAAGGCCCTCAGTCCAGTCTGCTCGTGACCTTACACATTATGACTGACTGTGCGTTCTTATGATGATGTGGCACATTGTGATTGGCTGTTGGTCGGAGCGTTTAGAGAGGAAGTTCTCACGGGTCTTCAGAGATCGGAGAATGTGGATGAACGCTCTGAATCTGTGCAGCACATTCTGTCATTTAATGTTAAACGGGTGAAATATGTTACATGAGGCGTGCTGTCTGTTACCAGTAGGTGGCGCCATTACAAACCTTGAATATTGGCGTGTAAAAATGTTCAGACAGAGTGTAAGTGTCGATCTCTCTCTTGTCGACTCTCTGACAGCCAATCACAGCGTGCTGCATCATAATACAAACGCAGGTGAAGGACCCCAAGCAGATCTGACCACCCGGGCACATCTGGTACCTACACAGGCTCCGCCTCCTCGTCTTCATTTGGGTCCTTCTGACTGCTGCACGGAGGCTGGGGTCCTCATGGCAGCGGCCATGGAGTCGATTCCGACCTCGTTCCTTTTGCTTCACTCTCTCCTGTTACTGAAATACAAAGTGATGGATGACATTTCATTTATTTATTTATTGAATTAAGACGGAGCACTTTATTAACACATCAACAAAAAGGCCCGGCAAAGGTAAATATGCCGGAAATAACACAAAAGACACATTTAATCCGTAGTCTTAAGGCAGGTACGAACATAAACATAAAACAAATTTACACATTTTATTATGTCTTTCCCTCAGTTATCAAACACTTATGTAAAGATTTATAATGAAGACGAGATGGTCACTCAGCTGGAAAGTAACTGAGCATGAACAGCATCACCGCTCCACATTCTGCAGAGTGATGATGTTTGTTGTAATCCATATAGCGCCCTCTGCTGGTGACAGAAAACTGACTGCTAGTGTAATATAATAAAACTCGAATAATGGTGAATAAATCGAGTAATATTGATTATCTGTGATAAGATGAGCTGATACTGATAGTCACTGGATATTCTAAAATCGGCCGATACTATCAGCTGGTCGATAAGTTGGTCGACTCCAAAAACTGTTACTGTTATTTTTTTCGAGATCTTGACCTATTTATATTTCGTTTGGGTAACACTTTATAATAACCATCATCTATAAAGGGTAAATAATGTTAAATAGATAGTTAATTAACCATTAGTTAATAGTTATTTACTGTTAACAAACAATGAAATGATAGATAATAATGTTTGCTAATGATTTGTAATGCTATAATTTATACTATGTTAACAGTTTATTATACATCATAACATTTCATACACTTTACACTTTATTATAACATTTCATACACTTTATAAAGTGTATGAAAATGTTATTATGTGTGCATCAATAAACTGTTAACGTAACATAAATTATAGCATTAGCAGGGGTGCGCTGGTGGCGCAATGGTTAGGGCGCACGTCCCATGTGTTGAGACTCTCGTCTCAAGCGGTAGGCCCGGGTTCACTTCCACCCATGGCCCCTTTCTGCATGTCATTCCCCGCTCTCTCTCTCTGGTTTCAGACTCTATCCACTGTCCTCTCTCTCTCTCTGGTTTCAGACTCTATCCACTGTCCTCTCTCTCTCCCTGGTTTCAGACTCTATCCACTGTCCTCTCTCTCTCTGGTTTCAGACTCTATCCACTGTCCTCTCTCTCTCTGGTTTCAGACTCTATCCACTGTCCTCTCTCTCTCTGGTTTCAGACTCTATCCACTGTCCTCTCTCTCCCTGGTTTCAGACTCTATCCACTGTCCTCTCTCTCTCTGGTTTCAGACTCTATCCACTGTCCTCTCTCTCTCTCTGGTTTCAGACTCTATCCACTGTCCTCTCTCTCTCTGGTTTCAGACTCTATCCACTGTCCTCTCTCTCTCTGGTTTCTGACTCTATCCACTGTCCTCTCTCTCTCTGGTTTCAGACTCTATCCACTGTCCTCTCTCTCTCTCTGGTTTCAGACTCTATCCACTGTCCTCTCTCTCTCTGGTTTCCAACTCTATCCACTGTCCTCTCTCTCTCTGGTTTCCAACTCTATCCACTGACCTCTCTCTCTCTGGTTTCTGACTCTATCCACTGTCCTCTCTCTCTCTCTGGTTTCAGACTCTATCCACTGTCCTCTCTCTCCCTGGTTTCAGACTCTATCCACTGTCCTCTCTCTCCCTGGTTTCAGACTCTATCCACTGTCCTCTCTCTCTGGTTTCTGACTCTATCCACTGTCCTCTCTCTCTCTGGTTTCAGACTCTATCCACTGTCCTCTCTCTCCCTGGTTTCAGACTCTATCCACTGTCCTCTCTCTCCCTGGTTTCAGACTCTATCCACTGTCCTCTCTCTCTCTGGTTTCTGACTCTATCCACTGTCCTCTCTCTCTGGTTTCTGACTCTATCCACTGTCCTCTCTCTCTCTGGTTTCTGACTCTATCCACTGTCCTCTCTCTCTCTCTGGTTTCTGACTCTATCCACTGTTACCTTAGTTTGTAAAAGATTTTAAATTCACTCTGAGCATCTCTTCACATCAAACAGGTGTCCATAGTGTTTTATTTTTTCTAGTTTCATATCCAAGTTTTAGATTCTGGTATCATGTCGACCGGAGTCTCAACCTGCAGACTCTGTAAGTCTGATTCCCACCTGCAGCCAAAAGGGAGTCAAACAGAAACAATGAGTGGACCGGCTCCAGGGACCAGGTCCAGCAGATGCCACAACAAAGGCGTGTCAGGCTTCAGTCCACCTCTTTAAGCCTCTTAGTGCCTGCAGGCAGCCTGAAGGCTGCACTTGCCTCTGACCGGACCGTGATTTAATCCCTAAGTGGAAAAGGTTCTTTGGCTTTGTCAGGTTTGTCACGCTGCCAGCACCAAAGGAACAGAGAGGAGGCCGGACCCGAAACTTGGCATGGAGGAGCTTTTGTTACCGCGCGGGGAGGAGGCGCGATCCGACCAGAGCTCATACGCTCCGGGAGACGCAGGGAGGACGATGGGGGACCGGGTGAAGTCGTTGTTCCACCTGGAGAACGGGGAGCCACGGAGGAAAGTGAGGGATGTCTGTAAGAGGCACGGGCTTCTGGCATTGTCGGTCATCTCTGTGATCACCGGATGCACCCTGGGCTTCATGCTGAGGGGGACTCAGCTGTCCTCGCAGGTACGACTCACCTGACACACGCATGTTTTCAAACAGCCACCGGCTTGATCCTGTACTCTAAATCTGTGTCCAGATTCACCTGCCGGGACTTAAGTTTTCTGTTGCTACCTTCACATTAACTTCCTTCAGGACTTAACTTCCTGAATTATTCTTTTAAAAACTTGATTCTTTACAACTTCCTGTCAGATTTTTTTGAGTTCTTCTCACCGTCCTCCAAACTGGTCTTAAATGTCACCGTAGACTCGTGTGCATCCTCTCCTTTAAATCTTCTGTCCACTCTCTCCTCTTATTTCCCATAATGAGTCACACTCGTGTTCTTTTAGGAAACTTTCCTGCAGGTTTATTGTAAAGTATTCCCATCATTGTCTCTGTAGTGACTCACCTTCTTTGTAAGTTAAATGTAAGCTCCTTGTTGACACTTTATTTTGATCAGATTCATTCAGGACAGTAAACATAGAAAAGTTCTCACATTTGTTCGACTCTCCTTTTGTCACACTAAACGAGGCCCAACAGAGACACAAACCTTTAGAACGTAATCTTAATTTAAAAATATTTTTAACCACTTAAAATTTTGATTACTTGATTTGTTCCAATTTTTGATGCCCCTCCCGCACAGCACAGCTAGCTGAGCTAGCCTCCGAGCTAGCTAACGGTTATGGCCGATTACTATGTTTTTTTAAGGGTTATTTTTGGGCTTTTAATGTCTTTATGTAGAGATATGGTGATGGATAGAGTCAAAAACATGAGGACTACAGCCTCCGCTGACGGGGCGTGCACACTAACCAGGCTACTGGCGCCCCATGTTTGAATTTTCTGTCATTAACTGCTATTGGCTAATGTTAAGTTTAAACAACAACAAAATCTGTTCATCTTCATCTGTAGAGCACCAATTCATTATTACAGAGGAAGAGGTAAAAGACCTTACTCTTTGTTATCTCACAAAGACAGAGCGTTAATCCATCATGAGTTTAGCACTTAGCAACATTTAGCAAAAGTTAAAAAAAGTCCTTTAAGAGGCAGAAACCTCGAGCAGAACCAGACTCATGATGAACTGAACCGGGCTTGAAAAATGGAAAAGAGGAAGATGCAGGAAGAAGGATAGAGACAAACAGAGGGGGGACTTATCGATGGCTCTCCAGCGCCCCCTGCAGTAACAGATGGGTGACGTCACTCATTAGCACCTTAACCTTCTCGTGCTCACATCACTTGATCAAACATGACGTCATATGTTACTTCATAAGTCCAGCATATGGCCTTGTATTATGAAGACACACTCGTGTTGTTGACATAACTCCACAAGCTGCTCTTCTTCTTCTTCTTCTTCTTCTTCTTCTTCTTCAATATTCCACTCGGCTCGGTTGTGTTGCATCGCTGAGCAGAAACGTGCTCAAACTAGGATCAATATTGGAGATGCTTTTGAAAAATGGAGAGAGGTTAGAACACAGAAAGGTTTACAGACCCATGCAGAGCTGGATAAACACTGAAGCTTCAGAGTCCACCACATGGTGACCTGAGTGAGGGGGGGGGGGACAGCTCTCTATGATGTTTAGAATTTAGACTGCAGTACCCATTTTAACCACTAGGGATCAGAGTTACATACTGCTCCTTTAAAAAGATATTGCCTTTAAATTGACCCCTTCATTCTGTGCGGGATGCAGGATCACGGTGTTCTTGTTTAGTGAGCTTTACCGACACAGAGGGAGACCGCAGCCCGTCCAAATCCACCACCATTAATCCCTCCATTCAATTAATGGCTGTCAGCCTCTTAAGAACTTTCTGCTGCTAACTCGGAGCCGATTGTGTCTGCTCTGCTCGCTGTCAGATTAGTTCACATTAAATGATAAAACACAGCGAGGTAAATAAAGAGCGCTGAGCTCCGCAGTTATTCTGGGAACAAACAGAAAAGGTCAACGTATTTAGACCGGACCGAAATAAAGCACAAAAGGATTTAAGGTGTTAAGACAGTGATACAATTACCAGAACATTATTTTATCAACTGGATGTGACCCAACATGATCCAGCAGTTTAACACACAGCAACAACATGTTAGATATTTTCTGTTGCACATCTCCAGAATCATGTGTTTACTGTTTCAAACGGACTCAGATACTTTAGAGAAGTTAAAGTCTGAGTGCCCAAACATTTAAATGACTAAAGTTCACATGCACGTCTTCATGATCACTTCAAGTATCAGAGGAAAAGTTATTATTGTGAACAAAATGCCAAAATCTGTTTTATTTACTATGAAATATCAGATGATTGTGTGCATGCAGTAATCATTGAACATATGTTCAATATGTGAAGCCTTAAAGGTCCAATCAGTGAGCTGTGTAGAGAGTGAGATGATAAAGGTATCTTACTATCTGATCATTAAGGAAACATGCTATGTTGAAGTGCTGGCTTCTCTGACAACAATGCAGCAGCCAGTATGTCCTCCTTCTAACTTTAGATTCTGCTCCTGAATGCTCTGGATTTGTTTGGACCAGAGAAGGTAGGCGCTTTTAAGACCCCCCCCCCCACACAGCCGTTTTGGACGCCCCTCGGTTTGTCAGATATGAGAGCAGTTATCAGGTCAACAGGTGTTGCAGCGATGGAAGCGGTCAAGAGAAGTGGTTCAGATAGAAGTGATTGTACCCGACCTAAAAAGCCTCTGCATGTTTCTAATAAGCTCCACGAGCAGAAACGTGCTCAAACTAGGATCAATATTGGAGATGCTTTTGAAAAATGGAGAGAGGTTAGAACACAGAAAGGTTTACAGACCCATGCAGAGCTGGATAAACACTGAAGCTTCAGAGTCCACCACATGGTGACCTGAGTGAGCATCCACTCTAGAGAGGAGGGGGGGGAGACAGCTCTCTATGATGTTTAGAATTTAGACTGCAGTACCTATTTTAAGTCAGAGTTACATACTGCTCCTTTATAAGGAAAAATAAGAACAATCAGAGAAATGTAAGAAAGTTAAAGATAATTTATATTCTTTACATTTCTGATAAAATAAATATTTGGGGGGATTTGGACTTTGGACATAAAATTCTTTAAACTTCTTCACTCTTCATACCAGCTGACCGTGTTAACAGCAGCTTCTTCACTTAATTATCAACATTAAATAGAGTCCTATAAATCAAGCACAACACAGCGAGTGATTTAACAGGGAGCTCAAAATAGCGCAGCTCGTCGTCTATGAACAGTCTTTCCAGGAAGTATTGATCCTTGCCGCTCTCAGTCTGAATATAGAGCGCGCTGAACATTGAGGTCAGGAAACACAACGATATGAAAGTCTGCCCTGTTTCAGAGGAGTCCGCTGAGATTAAAAGGTCCTTCAGTGTCCTAAATCCAGAGGAGGAAGGGATGTAAACTGGTGAGGAAGCCGGTGTGTGTGTGTGTGTGTGTGTGTGTGTGTGTGTGTGTGTGTGTGTGTGTGTCTGCAGACTAGGGGTGAGAGAGTGAGAGGACTGAGCAGGTCTGCTTCATAGCCCCCATGAAGCAGACCTGCTCAGGTGTACTGCTGTCCTCTCAGGCTCCGCCCACATCCACCTGCAACGAGGAAAACAGAGCCAGCAGAGGGGAAACACAAACAGGTAGAGAGGTTGACCGTGAGGCCGTCACACGTCGCTCCAGGAGGAAGATCATGGATGTGTTATAGAAGAGGATGCATCATTGGAGGCGGAGCCACATTCATTCAAGCTGCTCAGCGTTTTGAGCACGCTCACTTAGAGTGTCAGGCTCTGATGTGCGATCATTATGTCGACAAAATGTCTCTGAATTCAGCTTTGAATGAATTTAACATTTTAGGAGCTAAAGATTTGAAAAGGGGTTATTTAAGTGTTAGTCTCAGGAAGTTGATGTACCTAAAAAAGAACGTCTCCTCTGATTTATAGACGTCTCTTTCCAAATGTAAGTTTATGGGGAAAAGTCTTTTGGGTCTAAAGGAATCACATGATGCTGCAGTACCAGGTTCAGCCACCATGTAAAATAGGCTTCAACGGTTGGCGCTCTTCCCGGGGGCTTGAGAAAGACTCTGTTCCTGCTGCCGCCATGTTTGTTGTGCTGATACGTCACTCAGCTGAGGTGACTCCTGAGCCGTCAGCTGTCAGAAACACACGGGGTCATACATGCCTCAACCTCCAGGTCAGAAAATAAAAAGTACCACTCCTACTAAACTGACCGAAGCAGTTTGTTATTACCTCAGCTCTGTCTTTTAAAACACTACATTACCCATGAGCCTTTAGTCCTTCACCCAGAGCTGTGGAGTGAAACCAAAACCGGACCACTTTGTCTTTGTTCTTAGAAACAAAAAACGTCCAGCTGACTCCTGAAGCAGCGAGCAGATCTGAAAATGATGACCTGTGATTTATTCTTTTTCCCCCGCAGGCTAAAATCTACTTCTCTTTTCCTGGAGAGCTGCTGATGAGGATGCTGAAGATGCTCATCCTTCCTCTCATCACGTCCAGGTACGTCCGTCTGAGCTTCTCTGTTTACATGTGGACTGTGTCCAAGACAAAGTGTATCACACCTTAACGTACCGGATCATGAACACTCAAACAGTTTTTACTGAACTCAAAGCGTTGCATAGTTGATGAGGCTAACAGTTTCCATCCGCTTCCATGCTAAGCTAGGCTAACCACACTAACCTGTTTCTGTGTGTGTTCAGTTTGATGTCGGGTCTGTCGTCGATGGAGTCGAAGGCGTGCTGTCGGATGGGCGTCCTCACCGTCACGTACTACCTGTGGACCACCTTCATCGCCGTGGTGGTCGGCATCGTGCTCGTCATCATCATCAAACCCGGCGTGGGGACGGATATGGAGAGTCACCGTCTAGGAGGCGGGCCGGTCATGACCTCGGCCGACGCCCTGCTCGATCTCATCAGGTAAGGGGGGTCAGAGGTCAGCTGGGGGGGGGAGAGGCTCAGAGTCGGGCAGCTGCACTCAGAGACATTTGAAAATTAAATTCTTACATAATGTTGCTCTAAGAACTCTTAAAGTCAGGGTTGGTCATTTCCTCCACTTCTTCAGATTCTGGTGTAAATTGTCTTCAGGTCCTGACAGACATTAATAACTCATGTTCTCTGAAACAGGAACAAAGAGAATCCATCATCTGTATCAGTTTGTAAGGCTGTAAAAACTTCAACCAATGTCTGCCACGAGGTACCAATCTGATGAACCAATCAGACGCCTCCCTGTCTCCCTGCTCTACCTCTTGTTTATACTGTGAGTTCACTGACCGCTGAATGAGACATGAGACGACGGAGTTTCTACACAATGACAGAGATGAGCTGAGGCATGTAAGTGAGGGGGCGTGGCTTAAGAGGGAGCACAGAGGGGAGGGGGTGCAGACGGAGCACTGAGGGAATGCTACTTTTTAAAATCATACTAGTTTTCTTAAAACTACCAACCCTGCCTTCAACAACAGTCAGTGAATGAGGCCTTATAATCTTGTTAAATAGGGGAACGACCTCCGTCGCAGCCTATCACCTGCCAGAGCAGGAAGTGGACTCACCAATCACCTCCTGGTGCCGGCACACTTATTCACACAAACACAACCAACACAACAAAACCTCAGTCATGACGTTGTTACAGGGTTTCCCACAAAGATGTTTTTGGTTCTTCAGCGTTGGTTTCACTCTTCAACACGAGAGGTTTCTTTATCGCACAAACAGAAATGAAGGTTTGAAAGATGATGAAGATGTTACTGGTCCACCCCGAGCGGCGTGACGCTGTGTTTACATCAGACTGGTCAGAGTCAGCTGATGTTTCTTCATGGTCATCAGCACCTTGTTGTTGACATGAGTGAAACAACGGCTCGGTGTTTGAGGACATATTTCTGATGTCAGCAGGTCGACCTCGAGGTGACCTTCTGTCTCGCGGTGTGACAACGATGCTTTTGTTGTGACCCTGCAGAGGAAGTGAGTTCAGTTTGTCGTTAAGCTGTTGATCATTTAAGTCAATTATAAAAAAAACAAACGGGCGCTCACAGACGTTTAACTCTTTAAGACTTTCTCATGAACGTTATTCTCTCACGTTCCGGACTGAAAGAGGAGAACAGCGCTCCGTCCGTCTGGCTCATCCGAACAACACTCGAATCAACAAATCTTTGAAAACACTCCGACACACACACACACACACACCCACACACACACACACACACACCCACACACACACACATCAATCCAATTACCCCGGGGCTGATCAGTGTATTTTTAGTAATCCCGCGGGGGATGAGTGACAGATTAACCGAGTCAGCGTCGGAGAGCAGCAGTGATCTCTGCTGCGGCACGTTGGCAGAGCGTGCTCACGAGCCGCCCCCATCGCATCATCATCCCGTCGACCTCAGACCCCCCCCCGAAGGTCGGCTGATCTGAACGACTGCTTCCCCTCAGCGCTGTTTTTACCCGCCTGCCGTCTCACACCTGATCGTACGATAATGTATCAGCGGCGTTCTCACAGAAATACCTGCAGAGACAGACGTCCAGATGTGTGTGCGTGTGTTGGCCTTCTTGTTCTGGCGTGTCGTCGATCCAGATCTGAAATCTAATTATTAAAATCAACAGATCAGTGATCCACAGAAGAGAAGACACTGGATCCAAATCATGCAGAAAGAATATTTAAAAAATATTTTGCAGACCAAAAACTTTGTGGTTGTAAAAGTATTATATTATCCTGGGTGTAGTTTTTATAGTGTTTCCTGTTTTAATTTGTAGTTCTTTAGGTCTCTAAAAAACTCTCCTTTAGTAAAACTCCTTCCGGGGTGAAGACGTTTAGAAGCTCTGTTTAAGGTGTTTATGTGTAGACCAATCAGCAACCTCTGGTGTTTAAACATGAAGCAGATGCTGAAGTGTAAAATCCTGCAGTTCCTGGAGTGTCCACTAGAGGCTGGCTGCAGAAGCACAGGAAGTCACATACACACCCATTCTAAAAAGCCTGTTTTTACAGCAGAGATGAACATGTTTACAGCCTGGTTCAAAAAACCAAATAGGTGTGATTAGCTCATGTCTGGATGGACACACACTGTACGGGGGGTGAATGTTTTGATGACTCATCAGTTTTGATTTGATGAAGGATAAGAGTTATTCACAATAAGGCGTGTAGCTGACCTGATTGACAGGTGGGCGCGGTGTAACGGTTTGTCAGGAGGTTTAAAACCCGCCTCAGCTCCAGCTCTCAGCCTGTCGTTAGGTTGACTGAAAGTTACACTGAGACAACATTTCCAGCATGGAGACCGCCATCGATGGGACTCCAGCGCCCCCTGCAGGGACAGACGGGGGACGCCATCGATGGGACTCCAGCGCCCCCTGCAGGAACAGACGGGGGACACCATCGATGGGACTCCAGCGCCCCCTGCAGGGACAGACGGGGGACGCAGCTGTTTGTGTGGATTCCTCCTCTCATTCAACAGTTTTGTCAGAGAATTTACATCCTGATTGTTCTGCTGATCAGTCGAGCAGATCTCTGCGCTCTGTTTCTATGTTTGGAGGGTAATATATTAAAATGTTTCTTTGCTCTCTCACAGGAACATGGTTCCCTCCAACCTGATCGAGGCTACCTTCCAGCAGGTAAACACACAAAGAGGTCGTTCAGGAAACAGAAAAAGGATTCTTCACGTCTTAAATTCTCTAACTGAACTCTGACTCTGTCCCCCTTCAGTACAAAACGGACTTGATCCCCATCCTCAAACTCCCCACCAAAACCATCCAGCCCAACTTCGTCTACGTCTTCCCTGACGACAGTGACCCCAAAGGCCGCACGGTGTACCTGGAGCTGACCCCGCCTCCTGACATCATGTACAAGACGAGTCCGGGAACGAGCCAGCAGATGAACGTGCTCGGCATCGTCATCTTCTCCGCCACCATGGGTGAGCATCACGCGGTGTTTCTACATCATTCAGACGCTCGGATCAGAAACAGGAAGTGAGCGTCAGTCCAGTGGTCTATGACCCAGAATCCTTTGCAGTTTTGACCTAGCCCAGATACCACACTATAGCATAAATCATGCGTTCTACTCAACTCCTCGTTTTTTGCTGAACGGGCACATTTAGGGTTTGTTTTGGTTTCATGCTGGAGCTCGAGGGCGCCATCTACTGGATCAGAAAAGTGGCACATTCTTCCTTTAATAATAAAGTGTTGTTGTTGTTGTTGTTGTTTCAGGGTTGTTGCTGGGCAGGATGGGCGAGCGAGGAGCTCCTCTAGTCAACGTCTGTCAGTGCATCAACGAATGCGTCATGAAGATCATCAACGCCGCTGTCTGGTGAGCGGATCACTTAATCACATTAAACATGACTTACTGTGCACACACACACACACACACACACACACACACACACACACACACACACACACACTGCTGAGAGTTTGTCAAATCCACAGATGTGTTTCCAGAGCTCTGTGTGTTTTATTTCCTTCCACCTGTGGATATTCAGGGTCGTTGTAAGAGGTGAAACATTCCTCTCCTGTGCTTCAGTCAGACTCTGTTGGTTGTTTTCTGGGGGCAGATCTGAACACAGCGATCCTTCTAGGGCTTTATAAAAAGCAGCGTTTCTGTAGAGGAAGTGTTCTTGGTGCAGCTTTAGGGATGTAAAGATTAATCGTGATAAATCATTTCGAAGGTGTCAAGACTCACATCGGTACAAAAATGAATCTCAATAATATTATAGCGGCTAAGCCTAAAACTTAAAGCCACTGAGGGGCTACATAGACGGGCTAATCTAGTCTATAATAAATAAGACAGTCCAATATCTTCTTCGTTTAGGAATATTTATTTCTCATTCCATCGTTGTCTTGATCACTGACACATGTGAGCTGTTCAAACAATAATCCAGACATGTCCATTTACATTCACTCCTGTTACCTCAGCGTGGCGTACAGCGGTCAAAAAAGTGTAACTGCTCCCCGTCTAGTAACACCTGACACCCCAGTGATAGTTCCTACCTATATAGAGTTTCACCTTAACCTAAAGGCAACACCTGCTGGAACAATTTGTGTTTGCACTTTATAAACATGGCTTCTACAGATATGGTGAGCGTCAGCAGCTGTAGAGCAAGATTTATAAATTGAGGACCCCCCATTGGCTTTCAAATCAGAGGTGTGGAAGCATTTTGTCTTCAACAAGACAGAAAATGAAAGAGGTGAGAAGATAACAGACGAGACAAAAAACTGTGTGCAAATATTACAAGAAGACGGGGAAGTATACAAATAACACAACCAACATGATACAGCGTTTAATCCACACCACAACAAGAAGCTCCAATCACCTCCACTTGTTGAGAGAAAAATAAACATTAAAAGGTCAAACAACACTGACAAGCGGGTTAGCAGCCCTTAAAGGAATCTTTATCTGTCATCATCTGTCTACTGTCCCTTTTTGTAAAATAAATCGTGAGAGAATCATATCGTGAGTTTGGTGAATTGTTACATCCTTATTCAGGTTGCATGCTGGGATGTGGATGAGTGAAATCAGCTGCTGGAGCAGAACTGAAGGTCCGCCTCCTCTCACCGGAGGATCAGGATCTCTTTCTGTCTCTGCAGAGCAAACGATCTGACTCTTACTGAAGCAATCTGTGAAAGTCTGTAATCATTCTGTGGTGCAGACTGAACAATCAGACAGAGTGAACTCTGTAGAGCTCTGATGTGATGTGCAGTAGATATTAACAACATTAGATTATAAACTGCTCTTCACTCTTTGAATGGAAGCTGCTGTGCTCACTGAGTGTCGGTGACACAGGGTGCGCTGGAGTGGGTACAAAAAGCAGATGAGCAGCTAACCTCCAGGTAGCAGTGGAGTTGTCTCTGAAGCGGTGAGGGGTAACCTTGTGAAGGAGAGGTTAAAGTAGAGAGGAGAGAAAAGAGTAGAAGACGCTGACGTGTTTCAGTCCAATGGCCTTCTTCAGGGCGTGAGAGTGCTGCACAGGTGAGCTGGGATTTCTAATTCACTACTACATGGAGGTACATGTTTCCAATGTTTATGTGCTATTTAAGACTTAGTGTAAAAGTTTATTTGACGTTTTGGCTCCTCTTGACGGAGGTTCAGAGGGGCCGAAATGTGGTGATTTATTTTTATTTTCAAAAACTTCAGACAAAATTTTATACAAATGTGATTTATTTTCTAATAAATTGGTGATGCCAAGCAAAACTAACCGTGCAGGGATTTTCCTTTTCAATATGATGTTTGATCTCCTGTAATATTAGTGACCTGGATAGAGTCAATGTTTGTGTCACAATCTGGCTCCTGATTTCACCAGATTATTCAGACTTTGACTGTTTTGTCTGTGAAACACTGACAGCAGCTCGTTCCTCCTCGTCTTTATAGAAACAAACTTCAGTGACCGCCTGGTAGTTTTGGTGTCGTCGGTCGGTATTTGTGTCATAGTGTTCTTACCGGCGGTGAGCTGGCTCACGGGAGGATTGTGTGGATGTGACCTGCTGACCCGTCAGGTGGTGAAAACGTGCAGGCGATGACATCATTGTGTCCTACTCCTGCAGCAGCACCTGAGCAGATTAAAAACAGAGTCCACAAAAAAAACCTTGTGACGTGAACACAGAGCTGCTGCTGAGGGCTGCATGTTCAATCTGTTACTTTAGAAATCTTCTTCACTTAGAAAACACTGTTTTAATCCTCTGTCGGTCTTAAAGGTCACATATCCTCCTCTTCTTCAGGTTAAATAATTCTCAGAGCTCCTCAAAACATGTGTGTGAAGTTTCTTGTTCTAAATCCACTCTGATCCTGTATTTGATCATGTCTATAAACCCCTCTATTTCAGCCCTGCTCAGAACAGGCTGTTTCTGTGTCTGTACCTTTAAATATGTAAATGAGCTGTGTCTGACCACGCCCCCTCTCTGGGAGGGCTTGGGTGTCTCTGTCTTTCTTGCTCCATGTCCTATTGTTTACGGTGAGAAGGCAGACTCAGAGGGCAGAACAAACACCTAGCTGTGGGAGTGTCACCCACCTGGGGGAGGGGCTACTGCCCTTTGTGATGTCATGAAGGGAAAATCTTCAAACGGCCTGTTTGAGCACACATTTTCTGAAAAGTGGAGCAGGCAAAAGACGGAGAGGATGGACTTTTCTCATGATTAGGGGGTTTGTAGACGGACCAGAGACACATATTAGAGTTAGAGGAACAAGGAGAAGTGTATTTTACATCATGTGTGACCTTTAAGGTGTTTTGTTACCTCCCTTGTTGTAAACATGAAGTCATTTCTGAGAAGAGAAGCCATTAAAAGCTTTGCATAACTTCACATCATGTTTTAAATTGAAATTGTTACCAAGCTGCAACCCCCAGTCTTGAAGAATGAAGCTGATGCAGAAGTATAAAATCCTGCAGTTCCTGGAGTGTCCACTAGAGGCTGGCTGCAGAAGCACAGGAAGTCACATACACACCCATTCTAAAAAGCCTGTTTTTACAGCAGAGATGAACATGTTTACAGCCTGGTTCAAAAAACCAAATAGGTGTGATTAGCTCATGTCTGGATGGACACACACTGTACGGGGGGTGAATGTTTTGATGACTCATCAGTTTTGATTTGATGAAGGATAAGAGTTATTCACAATAAGGCGTGTAGCTGACCTGATTGACAGGTGGGCGCGGTTTCTAATGCTTCATTGTAACGCTGCGTGTTTTGTCCCTGTCAGGTACTTTCCGTTCGGGATCATCTTCCTGGTGGCGGGGAAGATCCTGGACATGCAGGACCCGAGCACGCTGGGGAAGAAGCTGGGCTGGTACGGCATCACCGTGCTCGCCGGCCTCTTCGTCCACGGCCTCATCCTCCTCCCTCTCTTCTACTTCGTTCTCACTAGGAAGAACCCCTTCTCCTACATCCGCGGGCTGCTGCAGGCCATGGTGATCGCCCTCGCCACTTCCTCCAGGTCAGAGGTCACCACAGTCACAGGTCGTTCTCCCGGTCCGTCGCTGTGTTCAGGAATTCATTAAAGTTTCAAACGCTGTCTCTTCTCAGCTCTGCCACGCTGCCTATCACCATGAAGTGTCTGTTGGAAAACTGTCACGTTGACCGACAGATTGCTCGCTTCGTCCTCCCTGTGGGCGCCACCATCAACATGGACGGCACGGCGCTGTACGAGGCTGTGGCGGCCATCTTTATCGCTCAGGTTAACGACTATGAGCTGGACTTTGGCCAGTTGATCACCATCAGGTAAACAAACATGATGACGCTTTCTCTCAGACTTCAGGAGGTTTGGTGACCTGTAGAAACCGTTTGTTTAGAAGAACTAAACTTTAGGATTTCACAAAATGTCTCATCTTGACTTTCTAACATTCTTAAGTCCCCTTTTTTAGTTTCTCTGCTATCAGACGCTTTTCTTCAGCGTCTGTTTTAGGTCTCAGAGACGGGTCAGACCAGGGTTACTTTGGGTCAATGGTCAGAAAAAATGGCTCCAATTGGTTTCTTGGATCGCTTTTAGATTGAATAGATCTCTATAAGGAGGCGGAGTCTGCCGTCAGCGTGTTGTCACTCACAGTCGTGTTCTGTGTGGTGTCATGTAGCGTGATGCTGAATAGTTTTTTTAGGACACAATGAGGAAAGCTCTCAGGGAGTTTGGGTAGGCAGAAAGGAGCTAGCTCATAATGCTAACCTTGCTAACGTTATGGCCGCACTTCACTTCACGCAGACGTACGATGGAATAACTCTCTGAACACCTGAAGGTGTCACAGGTGTGTTGGAGGAGGGTCAAACTTAAAGACGCACACTGTCCCGCTTCACGCTGACTAATACAACGTTTGGGTCTCACCGACCTTCATGGCAGCAAGAAAACATTTCTACGTATATAAACAACCAAAGAGACCGCCTCACTTCAGCCATCAGCCAATCAGAGAGAGCTGCTTAGTCCATCATCAGCCAGGGAAGAGTTCAAAGGTCATGATAAAGCACAATAAATGTTGAATATTCATGTAGCTGTATACCGCAGGAATTCTAAGTGTCATCGTCTATGATCAAACGTCATGTGATGTATTCAAACCAATAAGAAGGCTCGCCTTCTCACACACTCCCTCACCCGTGACCACATCACCCCCGTCCTTCATAACCTCCACTGTCCCCTCCATCAGAGACCCGCCCTCACTCACTTCCCTAAAAAACTCACCTCTTCAACATCACTAACTATCGCATCTCTCCTCCTCCTTCTCTCTGATTAGCTCTTCGTCGTTTTGTTTTTTGTCGTTCTTTGTTGAGGCTCTTTGAGTATTTTGAAAAGCGCTTTAAAAGAGTAATGCATTTTTATGATTAAAAACATGAACGTTTGATTAACTATCAAACGCTGCACACACAGGAACAGCTGCAGCCGAGAGATTGTCCCGTAAATATTCCATTCTTTGTTCTCTGCTCGTTAAATCTGCAGCAGGAGCATGATGGGAAAAAGTCTCAACAAGAAGCCATCTTTAAATCATGTGTCTCTTATCAGACACTTTTCTTCTGGGTCAAAGGTCAGATGACGGGGCTGCTATCAGATCAGTCAGTTTTAGGATTTAAACTCTTTCTTCTGTTTGTCTTGCAGCATCACAGCCACAGCTGCTAGCATCGGCGCTGCGGGGATCCCCCAGGCCGGTCTGGTTACCATGGTGATCGTCCTAACGTCAGTAGGGCTGCCTCCTGATGACATCACGCTCATTGTCGCCATCGATTGGATCCTGTGAGTAGCAGTTCTCCTCATGCAGAGAGATCTCTTTCTTTTAGATTGTGATGTCCTGAAACAGAATCAGATCCACGACTCAGAGACCCGAGTGTCACAGTCCGTCTTTGTCGTCTTTGTCTCTGCAGCGATCGCTTTCGGACCATGATCAACGTTCTCGGCGATGCGCTGGCGGCAGGAATCATCGCCCACCTCTGTCGTAAAGATTTCCCCCTCAGTGGAACAGGAAAGGTAACACCACCACCTGTAGGACTCTGTTTGTGTTTCATACACTGGACGTCTGAACGTGGTCGTCTCGATCCACACAACACGTTTAACTTCTGTTTGTAAAGATCACGCGTTCCTTTACACCTGTGAGCTGTTACTTCATTCACACCTGTCGGGTTTGAGCAGATTACAGCGGAGGGAGTCGTCTCCAAGGTTGGACAGATTAGAGCTCTGACTCTTATCTTGATCCCGTGCTGATCCTCGGCGTGCCCCACTGTCTCCGTGGTCACTGTGTCCAGGCAGAAAAGTCTGTTTATAACCAGAGAAACACAAGTTAATGTAACGATGACTGAACTGGAACACTTTGAGTAACTTTAACAAGAGCTGCATGAGAGGCAGAGACAAACTTAAAAGACCTTTACATACTCTGGAGCCAATCGCTGCACTCTCTCTCCTCGCCATAGATCCAAAACACACGGAGATGTATCACATTGATTAAATGTGTTAAATGTGGCGGTATATAGATCAAGATGTCAGCTGTGTTGGGTTAAACTGGCGTATCGACCGGAGCGATGAGTAACCACATTTAGCTCAAACGTGGATGTTAACCTGCAGGGAGGATTAAGGTGATACTTCACCATGAAACATGAATCTGTGTTGACTTTGGGTCATATATGTAGAAATGTGAAATACATTTTGAAGTTGGAGCCTTCTTGACCGAGAAAAGATAGAAAGAGTCTTTTTGGCTCGTGGATGAAAGACTCCAAATCCCAGAATGCACAGCACTGTAGGCCACTCCCACTAAGGTCCTCTAGTTCAGAATCAGAAACACTTTATTAATCCCAGAGGGAAATTCCATCGTTACAGTTTCTTCAAAATATACAGTATAGCAGTAGAAATATAGTAATAAAAACATTTACAGACATATTTACTTCAACACATGAGACCGTTTCCTCAACTGATTCAGAGATTTCTTCCAGAATTGATCTTGTAAATTCCTGTCAGAAAACAGACTCTATGTCTGTGTCCATAGACAAACAGTGAGAGCACCGACACTACCAGTCCCCCCCAGCTCGAGCCGGCCTCGGCTCCTCGTCGTCACCGCCGCCGACAGGCAGGCCTTATGTCTCTGCTGCTGAGCTGGCAGCGGCCAGCGGCGTCCAGCAATATAGCAATATAGTGGCGAGATGGTTGCTGCCGACAGGCCGGTCTTATGTCGCGGTGTACTCTAGAGTTCTAGACTAGAGTTCGTTTGAGCGTTCAAACCACCCAAAACCGAGTGGACAATTTAACAAAGACACCAGAATTTATTTCAAACGGACCAATCGGCTGATGTGTGAATCACGAGACTCGAGGATTTCCTTTCTCTCATTCAAACAGAGCTTCATAAATTCTCTCCTCGTGCGTCCTGTAGGTTCTGACATGTTGTTCTGTGTTTCCCTCGCAGCCCGTGCCGTCCTACGGTACGCAGAATCCTCACGCTCACAACAACTGCCACAGCGTGGACGTGCCGATGACTGAGATCCACACGCACAAGGACAGCATGTACGACTCGATGGGCGACTCGGCGAGTGAGAGGCACGCACACACGGTCTACTACAACATCTGTCAGGTGTGATCAGACTGTACGCCGCACCGTATCTACAGCTGGAAGGATCTGAGAAGTCCGGTCAGAACTCACAGTGCCATCTGGACCCCGAGGGTTAGGAAGAGATGTGGAGAGACGGGATCTCCTTCTTCACAGGACGCCATGCCGAGCAGCTGCCCTCAGGTTCAAAGGTCACGCTGGTTTTATTGGGCCAAACTTTGATCGGATAGAAAAAAATCGACACAAACTCGCTAGAAAAACATATTTGGATATACAGGAGCCATTTCTGCAGCAGAGGATTATGGGTACAGGATGCTCTGTAGGTAAATCCTTTGATCTGATTCTGATCGGTGGAGGACGGAGCAACGCCTGCCTCGAGAAACGCCATCTTTTCTACCAGAAGTGAGGACGTTTTGGGAGCATGGATCGGACATGTTGTGTGTTTTATTTGCTCTTAAATTGGAAATTGGTTTTAAGAATTCAGACTCCTGTCAGAGGCAAAATCCCAGCGGGGGTGAGACCAGAATATCGGATTCTTTTTGGGGCAAAATCCAATTTTGTTTCTGCATGCATCCAAGGACATAAAGACAAAGCACCAATTAGATCAGCATGTTGGGAACCAGCTGGAGAGCTCGGAGGACAACGGCTGCTCCCCTGTGTGGATAAAACCTGGTCGAGGTATGGACATATTTCATGATTTCATGGCAGATTTTGTCATGTTTTGTGGCCCCCGGGCCGCCAGTTGCCCACCTCTGCTCTACAACCACCCTGCGATGGATGGTTCATGTCTTCAGACCCGGGAGTCTTTTGGGATTCTCCAAAGAGGAGCTCCAGAAACATGTTAGATGGTTTAGTTGAAACTCAAAGTCTGTCCAGTTCAGCCCCGCCTTAGCAGCGAGTGAACGTTTGACTGACTGAACCCCAATCAGATGGTCGAGGTGCGGAGGTGGATCAGTCCAGTTTAACCTCCTCGTAATACTTTAAAGCCCTGAACATATCCGCCAAATCCGGATTGCTTTCCCCCAGGACGGTTTATGAGACCACACTGGACCACACAGGATGGAATGTATAAAACACGGCATCCACCCAGGATCACAGCCAATCCCCTCAGGTTCCTGAACATTTGGATCCTGAAAATGAAAATCTTGTTGAGTGTTTGTCGTGTTTTTGTTCTTGGATTTGTTGATGTTAAGAACTGTGTTGTGATGCTGTTTGCTCTGAGCCGTATCTCCGTCTTTGACCCTCAGGTGTGTCACAAACCTCTGATTGGATTCTGGATGACTCAGGCTGGTTTAAAGGGTTAATGGATAATCCGTCCCACATGACAACAGAATGATTACAAAGTGCTCTTTAGACTTTTACAGACCTTCTTCTGACAGCATGCAGGCATGCGTTCTTACTGGCTTCATGTGAAGTCTACGTGCATTATTTCTATGTTTTGACTCGATGTTGTTGTAGAGATAATTACCCTGACTGTCCGTCGCCGCCAACGGGAACAAGATGCTAGTTTGGTTTCATTTTCTCTCTGGAGCCTCAAACATGCTAGAGTCCTTCGTCCTAAAACATTAAGTCCCAGAGTTTGTTTATTCTTAAACATGAAGATCCTGTTGGAGTATTTCATCAGTTTGACAAAGACAGAGTCCGACTGTCATAGAGGAGTGAGGGTGTGCGGCTCATAAAATTAAATATTCTAATATCTCTGAGGCGCAGTTCTTTATGTCCTTGAAGAGATGCTGCAGTCCAAAAGCTGCAGATTCATTTAGGTTTGTCTCCATGACAACAGAGTCCGTGCATGTGCAGTCCACAGCAAGCGCCTCAGTCTGTATATTATGTTTTATTTTGAAAGTGACCAGACGCTCTGTGCGACTTCCTGTCCGGGTCGTTCTATTCTGCCAAGCTTGCAGCGATCCCATGAAGAGATGCTGCTGTCCAAAAGCTGCAGCTGATTAATTTAGGTTTGTATCCATGACCCCCAGTTTCCACAAAGTCCGTGCACGTGTGGCCCGTCAGCTCCGTGCACTACAACGCCGCCGTTTGCTGCCACTCTAGTCAATGCTCCTGTTTCCACAGCGAGCGCCGCCGTCCGTCTCTGGAGCGTGCCACCAGCGCAACGTTCACACATGTCTTTTTGTCTGTTGTTCATTCGGAGACTGTTTTGATGTCTTGTTGATAAAGAGATGGAAAATACGATCAGGAGTCTGAATGTTGGGGTTTTATTTTGAAAGTGACCAGACACTTTGTGCAACTTCCTCTCCGGGTCGTTCTATTCTGTCCAGCTTGCAGCTTGCGGAGACGCATCACATGATTCAGAAACACAATCATTGACTGGAGTGGCAGCAAATGGTGGCGTGTGTGCTGCGCAGGACGGACCGCAGCACGCTCGGAGTTTGTGGAAATCTAAGATCTAGAACGAGTAGTTATTAATTGTGCTTAAAATCTGAAGTTGTTTACAAATCGTTAACTGACGTTTGACACAGCAGAAATATTTCATAACTTCACAAACTGAAACCGACATGGAAAATGTTAAGACTCAGAACGCCGTCAGGACGGATTAAAGTACGACGTTAACATTAACTTACGTGATCTCTACGTTAGCTTGACTCCGCTACGTGGCTAAACGCTAACTCAGATGTTTTAGCCCTCACAGTTTGTGCCCCTCGAACTTCTCTCTGGGTTTTAGTCGTGTGGTCGTTTCCGTAGACGGGAGACAGGAGAAAGTAGCGCTGCCTTAACTTCACAGTTTGAACCTTGATGATGTTTTTATAAACCACAAACCTCAATAATGACCTGCCAACGCACGCCACTTACCAAACCTTTTCTCTCACTGCATCATGAAAATACTCGAAGTCTTTTTCTTTTTTTTTACTAAATAAAACGTGTTGTTTGTTTATATTTGAAAATAAAAACTGTTGTATTTCTTCCATTGTCACGTTTCTGAACGAACAGTCTGACCATGCTTACCAGGTGTGTTAAAAACCAACAAGACCCAGGATGATGCCTAAGTGAGGTCACCCGTTTTTTCCTGCAGGGGGCGCTGGAGTCCCATCGATGGCGCCCCCCGTTTGTTCGTGCAGGGGGCGCTGGAGTCCCATCGATGGCGGTCTCCATGCTGGAAATGCTGTCTCAGTCTAACTTTCAGTCAACCTAACGACAGGCTGAGAGCTGGAGCTGAGGCGGGTTTTAAACCTCCTGACAAACCGTTACACCGCGCCCACCTGTCAATCAGGTCAGCTACACGCCTTATTGTGAATAACTCTTATCCTTCATCAAATCAAAACTGATGAGTCATCAAAACATTCACCCCCCGTACAGTGTGTGTCCATCCAGACATGAGCTAATCACACCTATTTGGTTTTTTGAACCAGACTGTAAACATGTTCATCTCTGCTGTAAAAACAGACTTTTTAGAATGGGTGTGTATGTGACTTTCTGTGCTTCTGCAGCCAGCCTCTAGTGGACACTCAAGGAACTGCAGGATGTTACACTTCAGCATTTGCCCTTTTTTTTTCAACGCAGGAGGTTGCCGCTTGGTTTAGCACAAATACTAGCAGCAGGATGTCTGCTAGCCTAACAGATCAATGTAGGTACACTCCTGCTTCAGTTTTCCATGATCCCAGATCATGTCATCGTCCAATCACAGAGGACCGTTAAATGACCTGATGTTGTAGTTACAGATGTCACCGTTGTTATTGTTCACAACTGTAGATGAAGGCTGCAGGCTTCAGTTCTCCCGTCCACAGCTGCTGCAGAGACCGCGTCAGATTAACCCAGAGGAAACAGGTGACGCTCTCAACAGGAAGTCGTCACCACAGCGCTGCACCGCGGCTATTTTTACCTGACTCACAGAACTCTGCAGTTATTAATCCAATCAAGCGAATGTGAGGCCCCGCACGGGACAGAAGCCCTGCGACGACACGCAACCACAGGTGCCTGCAGCGCTAATCCTCCAGCACAGATTAAAGTCACAATGAAGTCTTCATGAGAGGGGAGGGAACAACGGGGGATTACCCGGGTTTACTGAGGGGGGGTCTCCGGGCTGTCTCTCTTCTCAAGGACGTCCACAAGCTGCTCCAGGTGTACGATTTAAATTTAATGCAAGTTAAATAAAAGAAGCACGTCAGCTGATTCATCGATTAAACCTTCAAGTCTGATTAGATGGTCTTGGACTTCTAACCATTTCCTGCTTGTAAAGTTTAGTTTAGTGTTGAAGTACTCAAAATCAGTCTGGGTCTTCTTGAGAACACTCTTTGAAGGTCTGGTCTTGGAATCCAAAGCCTCGTTACTCTGTCTTGTCTCTGTCTCAGACTGGGCAGACTCAGGATTTTAAATGAAGACCGGTCAAGCCCACCACTGATCGGCTATCTTCCCACGTTTATCAGTGTGATAAGATGGAAAACGCCTGGTCTTGGTGGTCTTGACTCAGTCTCGAGCCCTAAATCTCTGGTCTTGTCTATGTCTCGGTCTCTGAGAAATCTGGTCTTGAGTATGTCCTGGTCTTGGTCTTGACTACAACACTCGTTAATTCTCTGCTGATTTATTCTCATTTTAAATCTTTAGAGTTCCAGATTAACGATCCAAAAAATAAAATCTTCAAATAAAATGATGGGAAATCAAATATTTGAAGGTGAGTGAAAAGGTTTGAATTCTGATGACGCCAGTTTACAGAAGAAGAAGAAGAAGAAGGTAAGAGTGAGTGTCTCTGTTACGAGTTATATTTGAGCACAACGTTGAGTGTAATCAAAAGTATTTTAACATCAACTAAACGTCTTTTGCTCGCCGTGTTGATGACAAATTTGACATCAAGTCGGGCATCCATCTCTTTCCCGAGTTGTTGTTTGTGTTCATGTTTCATTTACAACTCAGAAACTTGTTTTTCCGATGCGACTCCACATGATGAATGCAGGGGAAGTATGGGAAAGATTTAAAGGTCCCATAGTCTTCTTCTTCTGGTTTTATCTGCTCTTTAGTGTGTTTTCCAAGTGTCCTGTGCATGTTTAGGCACATCTATGTGCAAAAATTCAAAGTCTGTGGAAACGCGGCTTCTCCTACGTCCTCCTGTTAGCTGTAGCATTAGCTGCATGTAACACTCGGTTCTAGCCCCCCTCCATAAAAATGTGTCAGTGTGAGATCACTGATCTAAGCCCATTGGCTCGTTGTGACCCAGCAGCTCATGTTGAAATTTCCGAGAAGCGTGCTGAGCAACTGACCAATAACGACAGAGCGGATCGGCAGACCAATCAGAGCAGACTTGGCCCACGTGGGATCTAACAGTGTGGGCTCAACAGAG